TGGGAGCCATACTGTGTGTTGTCTTTTTCCCTCCTCCCCACTTTCTTTGTTTATCTGTTCAGCATGGGGGGGGGAGTGATCCCCCCCCCCCCGGCCTCCTGGGACATCATTTCTATGTGCCAGAAGGCCTGCCAGAGCATCGTATTAGCAGCCTGATAAGTTTATTTTTAACTTTTAAGGCTGGGGAGCCCAAAAAACTGAGCAGGCTGTGGGAACTGACCCTTGGGTAGTCCCTGGACTACTCGGGAGTCAATCCCCATAGGCCCCATTAGGCCTGGACCTTTCAGGAAGGCCTGAGTCTAATGGAGTTTTTAATTAATTGTTCTGAATTCTCTTTTACCAGAGGCATCATTTAGACACCTCTGGTGAAAGCCTGACAGGTCCCACATTTTGGGGCCTGTCTGGAAGGGTCCTAAGTAATAGAGAATGATGCTATAAAGCTTTACTGCTTTGCTTTTGGGAGAATTCTGCTACTTTTGTGAGTGCTATATATTTCCCCTCAACAACTGGTCATGATAGAACTGAATCTAGGTTGGATATCTGCAGGATCTCTCATTTTCATGCTTTCTTTTACCTAGGTAGGAAATACAGGGTGCAGACAAGTAGCAAGTATCACATACTAACTGGGATATTGCATCCTACTTCAAACTGGGAATGAAAGTTTAAATTTATATCTGGGCCTTGAAGGAATTAGGAAAAGATTGATAAGCTGCTAGGACCACACTATTAATAAGTGACCAAGAGATCACTAGACAGACAACTTTATTTCATGTTTCCTTGGATCAGTTGGTCAGTGGAAACCGTTAATCCCATGTGGCACTGAATTCACTATATGTTGTTTTGGAACACTTGTCATGTCAATTTTGTCATGTCACCAGATATTATTCTAAAAGTCTGTCCAGAATTGGTAGAATGTCTGTTGATGCTCAGAACCACATACTGATACAGATTTGTATATGGTTTGCCAAGGTGATCAAGAAATGATGGATCGTGATAATTTAGAAAAGGAGTTGTATTTCTCTTCGAAAACAAATCTGGAGTTCTTGAAATGGCATGTTTCTGTTTTTCTGTTTAGGGTTGTTGTATTTTCTCTCAGCTGTTACACCTGGGGTACTGACCATGGTACTTACAGCTTGTATACTTGGTTAGTCAGAAAAGAGTAGTAATATCTACTTTTAAGATAATGGCTATTATCTACTTATTGCTTTGCCAAGTAAGCAAATTTAGCCCTGGATTGAATAAACCAGTGTTTGATAGCTAAGGATTCTGTTTATGATTTCAATGGTCTTAACTGCCGTAAGGCTGAGAAAGGCGGGCTACAAGTGCCGTAAATAAATAAACTGCAGTAACCGGGGGGAGGGGGGGATTGGACTGTATGGCCCACGAGGTCTCTTCCAATTCTATGCTTCTGTGATTCTAATGATACTAGACCCATCTGATATTGGAAGATAAGCAAGGTTGGTCTTGGTTAGTACTTGGATAGGAGACGGCCAACAAACCCCATGTGCTGTATGTAGGTGACAAATTTGCAAAACCTCCTTGAAGTGTTTCTTGCCTAAGAAAACACAGTGAAATTCATGGGATCACCATAAGGCAACATAAAGATAGAATGGATTTTTTTAGCAAGAGACGTTTTTTGAGATTTGCATTAATATAAAAGATTGGTAGCAATGTAAAAAAGGAATCCAACTTTTCTGAACATGAACTTCCAGGTTTCTTGACCTTTAGCCGCCCAAGTTAGAACTGATGAAAATTAAAGGCAATAACATTTGGAAGGCACCAGGATGTAGAAGCTCATCTAAAACATCTCTGTGGAGTGATTCTTTTTTCAAGAATGCCCATCGGAAACACTGCAGGGTTGAAAAATCCATTAATACCTGGCAAGAAGCAACATTCTGTTTCAATTCTTGTTTTCCAACTACACATATTATGCTATTGCATAATAATAAGAGAGACATTATGGATTGTTTCTGTGTGGGTGTCTTGGAGCTGCATGATCCCACACTTAGCTAGCTTTTGACCTTTTGCACTGCAATTCCTACATTGCTAGGAATGTGTCTGAAAAACCACTTGCAGCTCTCTACAATAACATATTAATGCAAATATTGAAGATGCCAGGCACACTTAAGTTTGTCTTTCTAATAAACTGCAAAATTAATCCCAAACCTTCATGAGTGGGGATAAAAGCAGACGGCTCATCCAGTTTGGAAGAGGATCTAGAGAAATGCTAAATGACAGTAGCATTTAGTAGTGAAAGAGATGATTTACTTGGACATCTTTGACACATGGCTGAATCAATGTGATATGTTCATTCTGATGCTAGTGCTGAAAAGCCACTTTCTAGCCTGTGTGTTTGCCCTCTCTAAGAGCACAAGGCAGCTTTGTTCAGGCAAATAAGTGAAGCAGTATGTCCCAGGGCAGGTTAGGGTGAACCAATAGCGACAGCCTGCCTGATAAAACTCAGCTGTGTTGCTGTTGATGCAATACTGAGTGAGTCTGTTTACCTGCCATCTCCAGCCTTTGTGCCCTTGTGCTCAAAGGAGCCAAACTCTTAAAAGAACCTTTAATTATTTACTCTCAAAATATGGTTTATCCTGCCAATTAAATGAAAAAAGATGAATCATGGGGGAGGGGGGCAAATAACACAAATAAACCTCCAAACTGTCAAAACAACAAGTCCCTTAAAAGGGCAAAATATGCAGCTTTGTGAGGACTGCACAGATCCTTCCTTTCAAACTCCTGGCAGGAGACTTCCTGTTTGGATGTACAACTCACAGTCAATGTTGTGTGCTAAGATCCAAGGACTCCCTCTTCTTCATCCTTCCCCGTCTCTCTGTCGGCAATCTAACTACTTCATCCCTGAGTCTGCTCAGCTTGCAAGATCAGCTCTTTAACTTGTGCACTTAGGTCCGCATTTTTGTGAGCACTCAAGAGTAGGAAGAAAACGGCTTAACTGCTCTCATGTTCAAAGGACAATGCCCTGCCCTTAAAGTTGCAATTAGAAACTGTGGGTTATTTACTGCAGCTCATGATGATGATATTATTTTTCTGCAGAAGAAAATGGGAAGTATTGTATTTAAACAAATAGAGATTGGAAAGTTACTTTTTAATATACTGACATATTGAAACCATTCACAATGAAGCAGGGGGAGTTGGGTGCTCTGGAAGCCAATTTTGCGTGGGTATCACATGCCATTAAATTTATTCTTAAAAGTAACTTTCTTAGCTCAGGACAAATGTTCCCACAATAGTAGGGAATGGTGCTACATTTTAGGTTTTCTGCAGGTATGGAGAACCTAGGCTTCATGGATAGGGTTTTGATGTTGAGTTCTGAGGTATATGTAATGAACTGATTTTTGGCCTTCATACATCTTGAATAACTTGAGATTGACCTTCTACCACTTGTGTTAATCCGTATAGCCCTACCTTCAAGGACATCTGGTAAAATTTGTAATCAGGAGATGATAGTTCACAGGAAATTCACGCCATTGATGGGCAGCAGGGAATGTCTTCCCTTACATTGTTGAAGTTATTACATAGAGGAATAGGGACAGGCACTTTGTGTACCTCTTTAGTAAGCCATTTTGGTTTGTGGTTTTCCATATTCTTATTACATTTTAGGGAACCACAAAGGTGGGCCAGCAATGGCTCTCATAGATAGAGGTGATCTTTCCTGCAGGTGCAGTTTCAAACCAGGATATGGGATTTTACTGATATCTTTTGACTGTATGGGTTTTCTTTGTTGCAAAGTATTTGGTATCTACACTTTATCTCTATGATTGTTCATGCTTTACTTACCGTTTTATCACTGTAGAAAGACCTCTATCCCATGTTCCTCTTCCTATGTGTTCTAGTCCATACATTTTTCATTTGACCTTTTTGGGGGATGTTGCTCAGCACTTGTTGGTTTCTCTTAGGATTGTGTTTCAAAAATGTTTTCTTTCCTTATTGCTACCATGTACTAGCAGTCTGCTTTCATCTTGGTTCGAGAGAATACAACCAGCCTTTTCACTACAGGGCCGGGCATATTGTATGCTTGTTTCAATGTGCTTTGGTGTGTAATAAATCTAGACATACCACTATCTCCTCTATTCCGAGAGGCCCCTCAGCTTCCCCTACAGATGAACAGGTGACATTTCAGCGAAAACTTATTTGGTGACCCTGGCCTTCAGCCTTTCTCACAACTTGAATTCAACTTTCTCATAATCACAATTGAATTTTCCCATGTCAGCATACATTACTGTATATCAAATTAACCATCGCTTGGAGGTGAGATGCAGTGCAGTATCCCACTATGGCTTATTGTAATGGGAATTTATTTATCAACTTTCAGTGTGGCCATATAGGTAGAAAAAGCAGAATCCATGAGTCTGAGGTTTAGTGTTACTAGTATTTATCATTCCATGAAAACTAGGCCATACCATTTTTATTAGTGGTTCTCTGATCTAATGACTAGCCACCCTCAACCCCACCCCCCCAAGCAACCATTATATAGAGCTACAATATCATTTATCTCCCTCAAATTCTCCTTCCTCCCACAGGACCTCTAACCTGTGAAACTTCTCAATTCCTGCATATGTTCTCTTGCTGCATTTGCAGAGGTACCCAACATTTTGTAACATTGTAATTGACATATCAGTGTTCTCTGATGGGATATCCTCCCTTAAAATAGTTTCTCTGAACAAGAGCATTATAATTGCTAATGCTTTGCAAGAAAGAGAATGAACCAGAAATTCTAAATGCCATTTGCAGCTCCTCCTCTCGTATAGTCAGTTTAAATATGGGTAAAAAACCACTTGGATGAAAGGGGTTAATAACCAATAATCCATGCAGAGTTTTCAGTAGTCCATGTAACATACTGTATATTTCCATTGCTCATATTTCTTCAAAGGTTTGTTCAATTGTTCTTACTAAAAACATCAGCAGCATCTTGCCACACCAAAACCCTGCCTGGTTCTTGATTGCATTTCAAATGTTTTTCTCTCTGTCTTTGTCTACAGATCATGACTGTTAGATAGCACCCTACATCACCATGAACATGGCTCCCCGAAAAAGGAATCGCCATGCTTTGGGGTTTCTTTGCTGCTTTGGGGGCAGTGACCTGCCTGAAATCAACCTTAAGGACAACAACCCCCTGCAGTTTTTGGAGTTCTCTGTGCCAATCCCATCACCAGAAGAACTCAATGCCAGGTTTTCTGAGCTTGTGGTAAGTTGTGTTTATAATTTTGCTTTGTGGCAAGAGGTTCTCATAAAGGCTATTCTCTAACTTTATTGTAAAAGTTTCCAACATTGTGCTAAAACCTTAAACTCAGATCTCTTGGTATCCTGCGGGCCTTCTGTGGGCAAATCCTTGAGCCACATATCCACATATCTAAAATAAAAAGTGAGTTGACAGTCAGGTATCTGCTAGTTTAGTGGTGCCCAATCTTTGATCATATATATCAGGCATGGACAAACATTTTTGTTTTAGGGCCACATTTTGGGCCAGGCCAGAAGTGAGGACAGCTGGGTACACGCAGGTGGAGCAGGCCCAGAAGGGGGAGAGCCCAGGAGAGGGCAGGGCCAGAAGGAGGGAAAGCAGGGCCTGGGTAATCCTATAGTTGTCCTCCCATCTTAAGGATAGGGCTGTCCCCTCCCTTGATCCTCGGGCTGTCCTCTTGGCATTATACTAGGAGGAGGGCGAGACGCTGTAGCAGAGTGCTCCAGAGGGCTCTCAGCCACCGTGTGCCTTGTCTTTTGGGCACAAATACATGATGGCGTACCATGTCCTTAAGTGGACAGGGAAAATGAGAAGGGCCTGAGGTAAGCACCCAAGGGGCCGCATCCAGCACTCGGGCCTTAGTTTGCCCATGCCTCTTATAGATATATGTAGTCCCAGAAACCCTTACCCAATGACCAGGACTGAATGGCGTGAGTCCCATTGAGCTAGATTCTGTACTTTTGCCACCTGTTGTCCCATGATTCATTTAACATAAAAAAACAAATTAAAAAGTGCACTTGAAGTTTTAAAGAAAAAACATGTTTTTCAGGAGGATTTGCTTTAAAAAATGTTGCATGTCATTGTGGAAATGGAATAGCATTAAGGATAGAGAAGTATGTGAGGGTGATTTGGGATAGAATCAGAGTTGGAAGTCATCCACTCCAATTTAATATTAGTTCGAATATCAAACTGGCACATTCTTAGTCATTTGGATCTGCATGCAACATATTTGTGGAAACACAAACATTTTTGCTCCACTTCTCAGCAATGCTGTACGTGTTTTGTTTATAGTTTTGCTGTGATATTTTCCACATAGCGAGGAAACATGCGAAACATGCCATGCATGAAGCATCTCCTGGATTCTATAGTAATATAAGCTATGTCCAAATGGAAAAAAGCTGTGGGTGTTTAGGGCAATGGCACTTTGGAATGGAAACTAGGCTTGCAGGCAGCAGGATTTGCCTGCAAGGCCAATTTGGCTTGCCCATGTAGTGGCCTCTTCTTTGTACACGATAAAAGAAAGCAGGTTGCATTTTGTATTGATTGGCAAGGCTGAGTTTTTAATTGAATTATAAAAGTTCAGTCTGTGAGGGGGGCAGCATAAATCAATGACCTGGAAATGTTTGGGGAAAAAACTGTGTGTTAAATATTAGCAAGTGTATACTGGAGTTTAGTGTAGTGTGAGCACATATTTACACAATCTTTACATACAGAAGAGCCTTTTGAGATGCAGGCAGAGAATTCCTACTGTGCCAAATATTTTGCTGGACCCCTTGAAGTATGCCCAAAGGCTACATTTGGCCTTTGATATTTGCCATCTGCTTTGTAAAAAGTACAATAAAACGCTGCTGCATTTGACGGCATTTGTATTTACAAAAGCCATGAGCGTATCTTTGTGCTAAGCATTGAAATGTGGGTCACTGCCCCTATCTGTCTTTTTAAAGAAGCAGTGAAACCACATATTTGCTGTATAAGAACCAGCGGTTTGTCTTGCAATCAGCTTTGCAAATCTCCAGTACTCTTGGATGCTTTACCTGTTTTCTTGAGAAGCATCTTGGCTACTCCACTAGTAGGATATTTTAGGGCAGTTGAATATTCTGTGGATTTTATCGATTTAATTCTCTCCAAATTTCTGGCATGGAGTTCCAACCACCTCTGTATATGATGGAAGAATTTGTTCTTTTTTATGGACTGGGAAAACAGGCTTTCTTTATCGGATTTTCAGACAGCAACCAGCATGCCCTCTTTGAATTTGGCTTTTACGGGCTAGAACAGTGGTTCTCAACTTGTGGATCCCCAGATGTTTTGGGCTACAACTCCCAGAAATCCCAGCCAGTTTACCAGTTGTTAGGATTTCTGGGAGTTGAAGGCCAAAACATCTGGGGACCCACAGGTTGAGAAGCACTAGGCTAGAAGCTGACCTCCCCTAGCCAGTCTTCCTAGAAACCAGCATTGTTCATCTGTAAGACAGATGCTTCAAGATTTTGCACAATTGCCCATTTATTTAAACTTATGAGGATTTTAGAATGGGTTTCTTTATTTTCATCACTTACTGCTTTTCCATGGGCAATCTGGAGGTAATACTAATAGTTTATTTATTTGACCAGTCATATGACCATTTCAAAATATAACACAAGTAAAAAACAAGGCAAAAGGGAGAGGGCAGCAGCTGACCTTCTTTTTACAGTTAGAATTTTATTTTCCTGGTTCTTCTTTCAGAAAATGTGCTCTTGTCTTGATAACTTTCTGAATAAAAAGGCTTACTCTGATTATGGTGGATCTTTCCTCTCCTTGCAAGAGGAATGTCAGAAGATCATTTCTGTTGGGGGACCTGCAGTTGGATAATATTGGATGTAAATATCTGTATCACAGTTCAATATATGCTGGACAGTCAATTAAGAAGTATTCGATATCTTCCACAGTTTGTTCTCCCCATATGCAGAATCTCTCACTTCTTGAGATGTTGCAGTAATGCCCAGTTTGCATCATAATACTGAGTTGTTCAAACCTAGCCCTAGTATGTATTTTTCTTAAGAAGGTAATTTCTTAAGAAGGAGGTAATTTGTTTTATATCTTTGGGAAACTGAACAACCAGATGCCTTCTCTCCACATATGTCTTCTGTGCAGATGTGCTGCTGTCTCTTATTTGTCTTTATTACCCCTCTTACCCTCTGACCATTGCTTTTTTTTCATTTTACCATCCCCTGGGTTTCCCCGTTCTTCTGACTCACTTGATGCAATGACTCAGAAAAAGCTATAGTTCAATATAAGCAGGTGTGCCTGTTGCTTAGTAATGCCTCAGTCTGAGAGAAGTCTATGTGAGAGAACGCCTCACTGGGAGAATAGGTCTCAGTAGTAGTAGGCTTCACTGTGAGAGAAAGGCCTCAGAGTGTGAGGTAGACATTGTTATGGGAAGGCCTTGTGTGTGAAGTTCCAGTGTGAACATTAAACTTTATTTGTGCCATGGAAACCTTGTTTATTTATTTACTTCATTTATATATCGCTTTTCTCAGCCCTCAGGCGACTCAAAGCGGTTAACAACAGCAAAATTCAATGCAAAACATCATAAAACGATTATGGGACAGTTAAAACAATAGCATCGTCAACAATTAAACATCAATATAACAATCATTAGTGTCTCATCAGTAAAATCAGAATCCAATCTCATCATCCGTTAATCCGTGTTCCTATATTAATTACACTGCTTAATCGAATGCTTGTTTGAACAGCCAGGTCTTCACTTTCCTCTGAAACGCCAATAGGGAGGGGGCCGATCTGATATCTATAGAAAGGGCATTCCACAGCCAAGGGGCCACCATTGAGAAGGTCCTGTCTCTCGTTCCCGCCAGGCGCGCCTGTGATGCAGGCAGGACTGAAAGCAGGGCCTCCCCAGATGATCTTAATGTCCTAGTTGGTTTGTAAATAGTGCAACCATATTATTTTACTACAAAGAAAAGCGTCATATGGAAGACACTTATTAACAAAATTCCCATCTTATTTATAATAAGTGGGCTTACTAACAAAAGACCCAGAATGTGCTGGGTCATTCTGCTGATGATAAGTTACTCTGCTGTACATTTATGAGGAGAGTCTTTTGTTTTCACCTGCAAGTCTTGAACCCTCCTTAGGAAAGAGCAAAAAAATATAGTCATGTGAACTTCTTAATCGCTTTACAAGTTATTCAGACTCTACCTTGTCCCACAGAGGCTCTGAAATGAAAGTGAGCTCCTTCTTATCTATCTCCCAGTGCCTAGGAAAGGAAGGTGGAAGGCCTCCCCATATTTTTGAGGATGTTGGTATTGTAGATCTGCATCCCATCAGTGGGGAACCTGGCTGAAGGCCATCGTTCCAGTCTGCCTTGGCTACCTCCCCATTTCTCTCTTCCCATTTGGCACCATGCACACTGCTTGTAATGAAGTGCTGCTGCAGTTGGTGGTCTGTGCAGCATGTGCCAAGCTGGTTGTGTGCCTGTTGGCACTGTGGGCTGTTGTAGCAGCATATGTTTTTCTTTGCACAGATTTATCGACTGAACAGGAAACTGAGGAGATTCTGGAAGAACTCTCAATGTCAGTCACAAAACAGTGATAGAGTTGCTCCCCAATTCCTCAGCTCCTTTCCCTAAACGTTTAAGGTACTATAAGAGGCCATAATTAGAGTTCTCACGTTGTTTTCCCTGGCTTGCTGAAATACATATGTTTGTGGCAATAACTTGCTTTTTATATGCTTTGATACTGCAAGATTTACAACCTTCTATTCCCAGGAATAGAAGTGTGAAAGCCACGTGCAGATCCACAGATTTGAGCTGTTAAAATAACAACTCTTGTCAACTAGTAGCCAGTCCAGAAATGTAGGAGAACAGCACTGTTGAGAAAGTGGCTAGCAGAAGAGTAGACTTTTTAAAGACTTAGAATTAGCCAAGGCGGGATTAGATTGTGTGGCAGTCTGGCATTCCAAATCTTTTGTATTCATAGATTAAAACTAGTTTATTAATTTACAGTCAGGAAACGTTTTAAAAATACTTATCGATGATGTGGCACAAGCACAGGACTTGTCCTTCATAAATTGTAGTTGTGGAGCAACAGAATAATGAGGAAGTAATGTACTTTTTACAGAATAGCCATATGAGAGGCTATTATAAGAAAAGACTGCATTTTCCTCAGAATGTTTAAGATGTAATATCTGAATTGACCACATGAGAGAACTGGACAACAGTTTCTTGTATTTTC